GCCAGGTCGGACGATTCGAACGCGTACTTCTATCGATTCTCGAGGCGCTCACCAATTCAAAACACGATTTCCACATGCGAGAAGGCGGATTTTTGCCAGCGACTGCTTCCCGATCGCAATATTGATAAATAAAGAGCGTAAGCTCATTGGAAAAGTGCGAAGGAATCGTATCGGGAGGAAATGGATTTCAATGGCCGACAATCGAATGCACCGAGAGAGCGCTACGCTAATCTAAACTCTGACCGGAGAAGGCAATTTAGCCTAGCACAGAGAATCGTTTTTGTTACGAAGACGATTGTAAGCGAGTCGGCGCAATAAGGAGAAGGCCCCGTGGGTGCAGTAAAAAACTTGAATGCCGCCGAAGCGACGCGAAAAAAACCAGCGGAAAATCGAGTTACATTTCGGCGCGCACAATCATCGGATTAAGGCTTGTCCGAAAATTAATTTGCGCCCGAGGCGAGCTGCTATTAACGCTTGGCTTCCGCCACAAGGATCGGCGAATTGATATCGAGCGTAATTTGCTACTTGCGCAAGCGGCAGTCGTGTAAAAAACAGAAGTCGAAGGATCGAGCTGGGCGAGAGTGTGGAGTTAGGAAATGACGCAATGCGCGCGATACGCTGAAAAACACGACGAAGTTGCTTATCGTGACGCTGCTGAAAATCGATGAGGAGTGCAGCAGCAGCGGGCGCATTGGACAACGGCTAGCGTGCAGTTACCGAAAAATGCGACGAGTAATGGCAAGTGTAAACAAGAGCGAGCGCCGAGGAGAAAGATCCGAGGAGCGTACGCGTGTGGTTGGACAGGTGGGTGTGAGCGAGCCGTGATGTCTGTCCTTAATTGTCAACCAGCAATACGCTCTCTCGCGCATGGACCGACAAGCCGAGCCCAGCTACGGCACAGCTGACCGACGCTCTCGACTCGACGCCTCGTTTTATCGTGCCCTCACCTACATTCCCGTACCTTCCTTCCTCCTGCCGCTCCGCCGATCATTTAATGCCATCCGCCTCCTTTCCAGATGCGCGCGCGCGCTTCGTATTTGTTATCGGTGCTTTTTGCACAATGCGATGACGTATCTCGCGACGCGACAGATAAACCTTTCTACTTGCTGGATTGTACGAAAATGGCTTGCGGCTTTTTTCAGTTCAAGAGAGCAGTTTGTCACCGTGACTCATGTGCGAAATTTACATTTCAATAAGCCTCCGCAGCACGTCCCGTATAAAAGTACAATCGATGTATACGGAAAAAGCCTGACATTCCTTAGCAGCAACTTTCAAGATCAAACAAAACATTTGAAATGGTGAAAGCTAACGCACGCACGCATACTCACAGCCTGCAGACTGACGAATAGCGAGAGTTCGCGCGTGATTTTTTTTCTTCCGATTTTCGCAGCCGAAAATCTTAATGCGGCGTGAGACAGACCGCGTCGACGATTGCATTGTAAGGAAGGCGCACGCGAATGAGTATCCGAGAGAGAGAAAAGCAACGAAGGAGGCAAACAGTCGCGTGTGCGTCAGCTACGAGTCACGAATATTCAAGCATATACACGACGAGTAAAGCGAGGCGCAACCATTTGGGAATAAGGACGTGGGCCGAAACCAACAGAATCGTTTTCGCTGCCGCCGTTGCTTGTGCACTTTTTCTTTTGTACCTCCATTTTTTTCACGATGATGCACTTTTACCTTTTCAAGCGGCACCACCTTTCACTCGCGAGTGGACGTTAATGCAATTCCGAGATTTTGGTGGAGCGTTCGGTAGTTTTATCACGTATCACGTCATCATTTCTGATTATCACCGAGCCGTCGCTTTGTTTCGGTCGATATATCAGCAATTTATCGATTAAAAATACATCAGCTATATGCAATAAATATATTATTACTCGCAAGATCATGATAAAAATGAGTTACAGTTACGTCAATTTGTGTTTACTACAACACTCTAGATAACACTACGTTTGTATAATAATCAAAGCTAATGATCACCCTGCATTGAAGATGTTTATTCAATTATAATATCAGAGATCTGCTTAGTAACACTTGATTACATTTATCAACAAAAAATGATTTGTTACGTAATGTACAAATCTCTTTAGAATGAAAAGATCTTAAAAAATTAATAAGTGTGGGTGAAAGGCCTTGACATGTATCAAATCAAATCGCATAAGTAATAACTGAATGCCCCACTTAATTGATTGAATAGAAAAATGAAATGATTTGAATAAAAATAGAATCATTTATTTGTTGCCATATTTAAAATAATGACCACAACTTAAGAATCCAAAGACAAGAAGATCGACGAGGCAATAGCAGAAAGGTAGCAAGAATGATAAAAAACCATTTTGCTAAATATAGCAGTGAACGGTCAAGCCTAACATAGAACAGGACAGCATATGTCTCTAGATACTCACATATGAAGCAATTCATGCAGCATATGTGTAATAGTTTCCAGTCTGCACTATTTAAATTTCTTTCAAAAATTATTATCAGCATTTAATAAATAGTCTTTCCACATGTTAAGAATTCAACTTAAATTAATAAAAACAGATGGATGTCAGATGGATATGGAGTCAACAATTGAAAGAAAGATATAAAAGTTTGTAAAATCACCCCAATGTGCCAGATACCACAGTGACATACATGGTGTGAAAGTTTTTTTCATCCTTATTTGATCGTTACATGCACTACTGGTTCTTGCAGGAAGACAAACTTTAAATGTACAGAGCAACTGTGTAAGCATGTGATCTATTTTTTACAACTTTCACTTTAGCATTGTGAGATAAAGCTTTCTGAGATGTAGCAATATTGCTGAAAGTTGATAAAACAAGAGTGACATAAATTTAGAACAAGTATAAGCTTACACAGCAGCCACAAAAGCTGTTGAATAATTTAGGTTCATTTAATAAAGTATGCTGCTAGCAGACTATCCCTCAAAGGTCTCTGTGAGAGTATATCAAATTAAGGTGATTAACCAATGGTAAATTGATGGTTCCTACTTGGAAAGAGAGAGAGAGAGAGAGAGAGAGAGAGAGAGAGAGAGAGAGAGAGAGAGAGAGAGAGAGAGAGAGAGAGAAGCAGGAAGGGAGAGTGAGACAGTTCAGTATGAAAAGTATTCAAATTACAATGCAAGTGTGGGTGGTAGTGAGGCTGGCAAACAAATAGTATAAAGATCAACAAACTAGGATGGCAAGTTAACAATGCTCACCTTGGGGTTGCTGTTGTTGAGCCAGGGCACAATGCTGTCGATAAAGAGGCCGATGTCCTGGCACTCAATGCTCTTGAACGGATCTGCCAGGAAGTTGAGCAGCTGTACACCAAGCTGGAGCTTTTTTTTGATGTCGGTAGTCGAGAGGAGCGGCATAAAGCCGTCCATGTCTCTCGGATTCACTGCCATCTTCGAAACTTTGCACTCTTAGGCTCGATGGCCATGCATATAAAAGAAACAAGTGAAACCCAGAGAGCACCAACAGCCTCGTCCTTGTCAACGTGCAAAGCTCTCACCCACACAAGAATCACAGTCGGCCACTCGGTCTCTCTTATAAAGAACACGCGCGTATTCTAGGCACGGAAAACAGAAACACTGGGCTGCACGCACATAGGCGCACAAGCAAATACACTTGGAGACACGCGCGCGCCTTGAGGATCCCGCCTCATCCGTTGCCCAGTCTCATCGTCATGCGATCATGTTCTTCGTTAGGCTCACTCTAGATTCTGCTTCTCGCTGGCTTGCGGGTAGAGTAACTAGGACTTGGCTAGAGAGGGAGAGAAAGAGAGAGAGCGAGAGAGAGAGAGAGAGAGAGAATGAGAGAGAGAGAGAGAGAGAGAGAGAGAAAGAGAGAGGAAGAGAGAGAGAAAGAGAGAGAGAGAGAGCCGAGTGTCTCTCGCAAGTAGATGTGTGTGCGTGGCTGAATGTCAGAAGAGATAGCAAACCCTTCGATCCTTTTAGCTAGTACTCTCCTAACCGTTTTACTGCACTCTCTTGCAACTAGCCTTTTTTGCGCCTCAGTAACGTCTATCGCGGCCGCTCTTAGGGCGGACTTCCTAATGGTCGCTGCTCTGAGCTCAGTCTCACTTTGCTCGGGATATGCAACGTCTCTCGTCTTGCACACTCGACAGGTTCAAACGCGGTGCTACTGCTGGACACACCGACACGATATACGCGTCGCCATTTTGCCTTTTGCTACACTCGCGACTCCGCTCGCAGCTCGTAGTCTTTCGCGCCCTACTCGCAGTTCAAACTCGCGGCGCTCGCTATCGATTATTCGCCCAACCTCATTGGCTAGCTCCGGTAGAAAGTTACCGTATCGGAGAATGAAAAATGGAGTGGGAATTTAAATGCTAAACAAAGATCAGATTATAGTCGCGATTTTCCAGATTGATACTTTTTGTTAATTTTCTAATCGAGAAGCTATTTTTTCAGCACCTAAACATGATTGCAATGTGTTAATCATGCAATCAATTTTTAAAGTATGACTACCTAATATCTTTCAACTTATCATAAATTCTTTATCAACGAAGATTAATAGTCAGTTTAGCGTAGTTAAAAAATTATAAAAAATAAATTTAATTACCTATTCGTTTGATTCATTTTACTTTTCCGTAATTTCACGATTTAGTTATAGGATTATTTTTGTTATCTATAGCTGAGTGATTAACAGGTAGAAAGAAACGATGCAATTAGAGCGCGCGACAATTTGAAATGCAGCTGAGCCGCGCCCGGCTCGAGCTAAGGATATGACAGCAGATTGTAGATTTTGATGTGCCGGTTTTTGGAATGTTGAAGAGAGAATTTTCTTGACTTTTTTGTTCTTACATATTTTCCATATTTCTCTGTATTTCACTAACTAAATGTCACTTAAATCAACATTGAATATAATCTGTGTGAAATGTTTTAACCTGATATAACCAAAAATATAAACCACGTATCATAACCTCAAACTATAAAAATAAAGCACCCTTCCACTCATACCTATCTCTTAGTGTAGTGTGCCATTAAGCATGTGGCACGGTAATGGTATAGTAGGATCTTGAACGTTCTAAATAAAAATCTTATCAATGTGATAAGTAAGCGCTGAAGAGCGCATCACCCTAATTCGAATGAACTGAATGCCGAGCGCGTGCAGCCGATTACACGCGGTGTAACATTCGATTCGAGAGAAATGTCGAAGCGTAGCTTCCTCAGTGCTCTTAAATTTGGACATTCTTTGAGGAGTTCGATATCAAAAAATACCAACAATTTGACGCCAAGAGCATGTCGTCGCCGAGTAGTCGTAACGGGCATTGGAATTGTATCTCCTCTAGGAGTCGGCACCCGGCATGCCTGGCAAGCACTTCTTCAAGCAAAATGTGGTATTGTTAAGCTCGACAGCCCGGATTACGAAAAACTACCTTGCCGAATCGGTTAGTTATATACTATTTTTATTATCGATTATTTTTATTTAAAAGAAGCCTTTCAACTTTTATTTTGTTCCTATATCTCAGTTCAGTGTTCTATCACTATCATTATTTTGTAAACATTATGCATATCACTTATTGCCATGACTAATGGTTTTTATTATTAGTAATGTGATAAAAATACTTTGTCAATTCAGTTTATAAAAGATTACTTTTTTAAACTTAAATGCATATTAATGTTCTAACCAGAATATTAATTTAAATGCATATAAATAATACTTTTTCCACATAAATTTCAGCTGCACTAGTTCCTAAAGGAGATGCTCCAAATGAATTAGATTTAAAAACAAAATTCACAACCAGTGATCTACGAACAATGTGCCCTGCTACTGCATATGCCTTAATTGCTGCTGAAGAAGCTTTGACAGATGCTAAATGGAAACCACAAAATGAAGAAGAGAAACGAGATACTGGTGTTGCTGTTGGAATAGGAATGATTGATTTAGTTGATGTCTGCACAACAAATGAAATGTTAAAAAAAGGATACTCCAAAGTTAGCCCATACTTTGTACCTCGACTTCTTCCCAATATGGCTGCTGGTCAAATTAGTATTAAATATGGATTTCGAGGACCAAATCATTCAGTATCTACAGCTTGTGCAACAGGAGCACATGCTATTGGTAAATTTATTTATTCTATTATCTATAAGACTTGATTAGTAAACCCTCGAAATATTTTACAGGTGATGCTTTTCGCTTTGTTCGAGGAGGTGAAACTAGTGTCATGGTTTGTGGTGGAGCAGAGGCATGTATTAGTCCTTTATCTATTGCAGCATTTTGTAGATTAAGAGCATTAAGTACCTCAAGAAATGAATCTCCACAAGAAGCTTCAAGACCATTTGACAAAAATAGAGATGGATTTGTTATGGGAGAAGGAGCAGCTATTTTAGTATTAGAAGAATTGAATCATGCATTGGAAAGAAAAGTTCATATCTATGCTGAAATTTTGGGATATGGTCTCTCTGGTGATGCTGTACATTTGACTGCTCCAAGTGAAGATGGAGCTGGAGCTTTTCTTGCTATGGACAGAGCATTAAAAGATGCTAGTACTGACCTAAGTAAAATAACTTATGTTAATGCTCATGCAACTTCAACACCTCTAGGTGATGCTATTGAGCTGAAAGCTATTGAATCACTATTTGGAGAGCACAGTAGCAATGTTATTGTATCAAGTACAAAAGGAGCTCATGGGCATTTACTTGGAGCTGCTGGAAATCTGGAATCAGCCTTTACTGTTCTTGCATTAGAAGAAAAAATTATTCCTCCTACAATTAATTTGCATAGTATTGATGCTCAAACAAGATTGAAGTTTGTTCCAAACAAAATATGTAGGTGGTTAACAGACTCGAGAAGAATCGCTTTAAAAAACGCTTTTGGATTTGGCGGAACTAACGCGTCACTCTGTTTAGCGCAATTTATTGACTAACAAAAATTATTTATTAAACAGTTAATGCTCTGAACTATTTAAAAAGTTTATATCGACGTTTTCTACATAGTGTTAATAGTATTTTTACTTAGAATATGTAAGTAATATTAAATAATGTTTTAATAAAGACTGAATGGAAATATTATAATGTGGTGGAAGGCAGGTAATACAAAAATAAGATCTATATTGGAATGCAACGTTTATTTTATATTAAATCTTTGATAAATTGTATAATTCATTACAATCGCAACTTATTTTCATGTGCTTATATTGTAATCAGATTGCGGACAGTATACTGTCCGATTTTTTGCGCCAATGATCATTTAAAAAATATAAATTTTCATTCACTAACAGATTCATCCCACAGTCCACACTATTTTACAATACAATAGGTATAAATATTCAACAAGAAATATATTCAAGACTTTTATTAATTTATATTTTTTACATCAGGCTTAATAATGTTTATTCCAAGAAGTTTGTTTTTGTATACTCTTTACAAAAGTTTATTGTAAATGAATTCTTAGAATCATTTTGATATAACGTACTTCATTCTTCCAATAGAAAAAAAATGATCAATTTTAGTAGAAAACATGCATTACTTGTCAAACGTTGAACATTTATAGATATATTACACTATGTTACAATAATAAAGAAAAGTTTCTACATATCTGCATAATAAACTTTAATACTGGAAGACACATCAACTGTAAAAAGTTTAGAATGCTGTGCCATTTTTTATTAAATCTTGATACAGATGAATTCGATTCTTTTTCTTTGTTCTAAATGTATGTTAACTTGGAATCGATCTTTTCAATCAACGTGACGTTGATCGCATTTTCAAACTACTTAATTATTCAATTCAATCCTCGTAAATCTTACAGTTTAATAGTCATAACAATACTTATCAAATGCACTGAGTACTGGATATGAATCAGTATAAAATATAAACTATTGTTTTATAAAATGGATTTTTCATGGACTGTGAGAACTAAACATTTCATTCAAAAAAGAAAAAAAAATGGATTTATTGTACATACATGATTGAGTTTTTTTGTTCGTAGTAAAATTGACGTAGAAAAAAAGAACACTTTTAACAACATCTAATGGAAATCATTAGCGAGGAATGGTGAATGGTTTATGATGGCTGCACAATATAGCGAAACGCTTTTTCAGCGTTTGACGTAGTTCCTGACGTTTCTTTGCAACCTGGCACATACGTGATTTAAATTCTAATACTTCTTCAACAGGAATATAACTATAATCATCTTCTTCTTCAGATAAATAATCCTAAAAATAACAACTTAGATTTAATATTTATATTTTTCCAAGTTGAATTATCCTTAAGAATGAAGAATTAAATATTATGGTATTATAATAAATAGAAAAAAACGGAAAAGTTATACGTTAAGTAATACTAATATATTTTATTTCTAAAATAGTGATTGTTTTTAAAATTTGCCGTAATACATAAATACGTGAACTAAAAAAAGGCTTCTGCAAAGGCTTTTTATAAAATTATTATTGTTTTTTGTAAAAGATGAAAACATGACTCACCTCCAACATTTGAGATAACGTAAGACCCCCACCATGCTCTCTCAATATACAGAGATTTGAATCTACATTAGAAAGTTTATCTGCGGTTCTTACATCCGGACATTCTCCTTCATGGTTACAGCATCCGTCACTGCATGCCACTTCAGAACCTTCTGGTGTACTGGGTAGAGACGGGCTGCTAACATTGTGCTCTGACGAATAACCATAATCTTGTGAAGAGTGTTCGCTGGAAGATCGACCATTCCTGTTAATTGTTTTGGTATTAAGGCGCTTTTTTACTTCAATCCACATGGTATATCTTTTGTTGCTGTCCATAAGATCATCCATTAGATGCTCAGACGAAGATGTATCTTTGTATACATTGCTATCATGCCACTCACTGTCGACGCTGATGGGTTTAGTTCTACAAATTTCAGATTTGACTGGTTCTTCTGTAGATTTTGATGGACTTTTGTTTACTTTATCACGTTTACTAGTCTTTTTTGTACTAGTACTCATTGATTTGCTTTCATTGATTTTATTCTTAGATTTCTTTGATTTTTTAGATGAATTTATATTAGATTGAGATTTGACTTGTCCTGAATTTTTATTCTTTTTTGTGCAATCTGCACAGTTACAAGTAGGAAGTCCTTTATTTTTAGGATCTAATACCTGTAATTGTAGAATATTTTGTTTTAATATTATGACATTATTTACTATTCATTTGTTGACGCATCTTTAAATTGAAAATGGTTGATAGTCGAAAGTGAATATAAATTATATAAATTATATAAATTAAATCTCGTCAAAATAAATTATTGATTAAAAAAATTTTATCATTTCAGGGTTGTATAAGAATTCAAAAATTAAACATACATTGTGCTGATCAACGTGTTGTATAGTTGATTCAAGCTTCTGTTGCGATTGAAGTTCTATATTTTTCAGATTGTTTACTTTTGCTTCACTTTGTAGGCACTGTAATTGTTCAATCAATTGTTTTTGTGATTATTATCATTATTTATATTTTTACGAGAAATTGTTTATATTATGATAGATTATAAAAAACATACATCACATAGACCTCCTTTATCCTCATTTTCTTCTTTATCTTCTGCTTCATTTTCTTTATCGTCAACTTCAGAGCGACGCTCCTTCTTCTTTTTTCTTTTAAGTCGTAATTTTTCACGTCTCTGCTGTTTAGCTACTTCCTCTCTTTTGAATTCATTATAAAGCACTTCTAACTGCGTTATTCCTTGTTTGATTTCAACAGCCATCTATAAATTTGAGTAATTATCGTAAAATTAGTGTTACTACGGCAGCGTACATTTTATTTTCAGTTTCACATTATTAAATTAAGAATTATAAATTGAAAATACAAAAGTACCTGAAAATTCCTAGAAAGTGTATCTACAGCTACAGCAGCTAATACTCTAACAATAATTTCCTCTTCTTTAAGGCGTCGATATACTCTGTTCAAACGCTCTGCCACACAAATTCCAAGGCACGTAAGAACTTCTTCTTGAGCAATTTCCAAAGTTTTTGCATGACGTTCTCTAGAGGGAAGAATACAATTTCTTGAAAATTTTAGCATAATAGAGCACGCACATAACTAATCAAGAAATGTAATCCTACCTTCCCATAAGTTCAGGTTGTGCTCTGCCAATTATTGAACTAATATACTCAGTATTTAGTGGAAGATGAACGTGACCACCCGAACAACGTTTGATATCTGCATACAAAGCGCTGACATAACCCTTTTCTTTAGTTGGATCAGTCTCATTAGTTAATAATGATGAAGCTAATAGTACTTTAGTGCGGCATTCTGAACAAAATCTGTAAAATTACCATGCATGAATATTGATTCCAAATAAAAGAAAATATAAAAGGGGTTATACTCACTTGTGCTTACGCAAATAGGTGTCTAGAGTAGCATCTAATGTATCAGAATCAATAAAAGTAATTTCTTTCAAACAATCATGCTCCATACAGTTCCACACTTCTCTCCAGGCATTAGGAGGAGGTCTCATACGCTGTACTTCTAAAGAATGCAAAGTACATCGGCGAGACTTTTTATTACGTGGTTGCTGCTCTACCAAATCATTCAATCTGGTGCTGAAAGAGATCAATGTATTTCATTACTTCCTATTACAATAACTATAAAAATCCAAACAGTTTCTAAAATTATAAAATAAGTTAATTTTATTAAAACTCAATTTCCAATTCCATTTGTCCATTATATTCTATAAAAATTTTAAATTTATCTTATTTTTAATTTTTAAGTTTTAATGTACTCAATGCAATGGCAGGATATAATATATGTAAGACTCAGTAGCTTGTAGATGCCTTAAAAAAGTAAGATATAAACAAATATTTACCTGTGCCCTTGAAGTAATGTGCATAATCTTTGTGGTGATTGAAGAACTTCATCTTTTATTGTAAGCATTCCATCTTCTGTAATAATGATTGGATCCAAAGCTGGATGACTATGTAAGTTACTTAAATCATAGAATAATCTCTCCACACTGTTGAAAAAAAGCATTATTGAACAAAGTCAAAATGGTAAATGAGACAAAACTAGAAGTTGATGAATATTATCAAACCTTCTTCGACAACCAATGCAAGGAACAGTTTGATCTAATACACCTAACATATCTTTGCAAGAGACTTCAAAAGATGCTCTCTTCTCATCCATGGTAAGTAAATTTAATTTCTTTGAAAATTCATCCAGCTGTCTTCCTTGAACCAACGGACTCTCTCGCAAAGCTTTCAATCCACTAATATCCATAATCATCTAAAATATAGATTTATAGTTAATATAGAATGCACTTTTTATGAATACAAATTTAGTTTACAAAGAAATTGAAAAATACTCCAATAATTTTAATGAACACTTCGAATTATCAAGGAAATATTCGATAAATCGGTAAGTTCGTTTGGAAACTTGAAAAATCGAAGGATACGTCAATAGTTGTACAATGTGAATAACGATCAGCAGCGTCCAACTTTCTAAGAGCGAAAAAGAAAAACAGGAACAATACCGTATACTTATTAGTAAGACAAACAAATAGAATAGTTTGTAGGAGTGAAGCAAATGTAAGATTCCTGAGGGAAAACATAAACATTTGTAGTTGAAGCGGAATCAACGCATTGTGGAAAAGGGATTTTGAAGGATTGAATCATCGCTGCATGCTCGCAAGGCGTCATGTGAATGTAGGTGATCGAGGAAGAGAGAAAAATAGTTTATCGAATGGAGAGATAGAAAAAGGTGTGCCAACAAGGCGCTCGTAGTTCTATCTATCTCTGTCGCTCCTTCTTGTTTGCCCGTTTTTTTTGTCATAAAACGTAGCGGAATCATGGTGGCAGAAATTTAAGGTTATGCCAGCTTGAGGAGGTTCAGGGCATCAGTTATAAATTTTAAAACGAAGAAACTTATGTAAGAGACGTGGGTATTGCAGCACGAAGGGCGTGAAAAGTTTGCGATAGACATTCCTAACCTCTCGCTATCTCACGCAAGAAAGAACAGTTAGGGCGTGAAAGAACAAGGATGAACGTGCGAGGGGGGGATGCAGGTGTGCAAATTATTCTATTGCAATAAGGATGACACTTACGGCGAGATTCTCGTCGACGATAAGCGGCATTTGCTTGTCTTCGAGAGCGGCCGGATGATAACCTTGCCACATATTCACGAGTTTAGCCATGGTGCAGACAGTTGATCTCTGCCAACGTGACGGAAACTCCTTGCCAGAGCGAGAATGGCTAAGCAACGGCAACGGCGTGGGGCGGTAAAGTAAATGTTTCTCCTGTCTGTCTTGTCTTTTTCGTGTACAAGACTTTTAAGCAGCAGCTCTTTGACACTAATTGCTGTGCGCGTCAAATTTTTAGTTATTTGATGACGATGACGTTACACTTGTGCAGCACCGTTGTCTCTCAAGCAACGAACGCAGCAAGCACTATAATAAGCAGCAGCAGGCAGGCACTCGAAGGTAGGGTCAATTGACTCGCTCGTTCCGTCACTACTCGTGGGATATACACGTATGCACGCGCAGCGCGCAACGTTTAGTTCGTCGATTTAGTGAATAGAAGAGAGAGCCACGATAGGCACACAGTCACTGACTGACTGGATCTGCGCAACGCAACCGAGAAAGCAATACAGTGAGAAAGAACTGCCAAACTGCAAATGCGGAACAAACGGAATGCGGCTCGCAGTGAAGGCGGCAAAAGGACAAACGAGCAGCTCTGCGGTTATGGTGGCAATTATGTGTTACTGCACGAATGTTTAAAATATACCTCAAAATATAATGTCCTTTACCCTGCTTCCTTGCTATGTACATATTTTGTGTGCAATTACGTGAATCAACACACTGCAACATCACATAAGCTCGTATACATACACATATTTCGTCGCATTTAATAACTACGGCTTTACAATGATATTGCATGTAACTATTATCATTATATCCGTTAAAGTCTACTATTCACAATGATTTTCAAAAGTTTAATTTCTACGCTCGACGTAATTTGACGACAAAATTAAGCTTCAAGTTGTATTCGTTTTGATTAGATATGTTAAATCGTGAAATTTAGATAATGCCGCAAGTATATCTGTTGCTCTCTCGAGTATAGTCTGTTTGCATTTAGTCATCATGCATGCAGTTGTGATGCAAGTTTCTGTGTAAAACCACGTAAGTGTGTAGATATAGTCACGTGCCTACATATCTTAAAAGTCGACAACTTTTGTTGAGCCAGTAAATTTTTCATTTATGTCAATAAGGAATCACATTTATTTTTAATTTTCTCATTTAAACTGTGGATGATTTCAGTTTGATTTCATAAAAGTAACTAATAAATAAAAATAAGAAAGCACACAATTATAAGCAGTAGTATAATATAAATACACAGTAATTTGAAACTCCGCAAATTTGCTTCCGTTTCATTGTTGTTCTTTGTTGTCTTTTCAAATATAGCTAGGAAGAGAAATTCGCATGTTAAGTGTCTATTCTGCACCAAATTTAATAAATCTAAATTTCACTCTCTTGTAATGAGATTGACTTTCTTATTTACAATCAGATATATACGTGGGGTAAGTGTTCCAATTACCGGCAGTTAAAGAGTTTTTTTATTGCAAAATATATAATAAATAATCGAATAAATACACATGCCTTTCTACTTTGAATTAAGTTATATTCTAGAAAGGTTGGATAATGCAATGAAACAATGAGTTTTTGTATATTGAATTACATTTTTTTAGATATTTTTGAAAATTACTCGGCCATATTTTTTATCATTCCAGCGACTCTTACTTAACATCTAATTTTACTTTAATATTTATCGTATTTAGTATACAAAAACATTTGTCGAATCTGAATTAGTTTGGACTCTGTACTATTAAAAGATCTTATTCGGTATACTGTTATCGATATTCAGTTTGAATTTCATGTCACCATCAAATTTTTATTTTGAACAAAAAATAATGAATTAAAGATCGACAGGTAGTATTGTTAAATAACGACCTGTCATTCACAAGCACTAAACACAATTTTTAAAGGTTAAAGTAATAAAGTAATCGGGTTTTAGGATATTCAGTCTATGCATGATTTTTGCGATTTTTTTTCGAACAACATATGCTTTATTGCATGTTGTATACAAAAATTAACTGATTCAGTTTAATCTATTATTTGAATGTTATTCACAGCTAAATTTAATCGTTGCATTCACATTTCAGTGATTGGTAAGTGCACTCCTATGCAGACACTAATCTATCGTAACAGCAGAATGCAACATTTCCTTTTTTTCTAACAATAGCAAATCGACTCAAATTGATTGAGCCAAAGCTTTTATCCTCGTTTGAATGACAGTGAGTAAATAATTTGAGTCAACGACAGCACCCAGGTAAACAAGTCTCGAACCATCTCTAAAACTTCCTAATAACTTCCGCTCTAATGGAGTTTAAACGCCAACGATGGAACAGGTTATTTGCTGCTTATTATGTTTACATCTCATTCGAGCAGCTCGCTCGGAATAAAAAACTAATGTTTTGGTGAGGTTTTGAAATGACTCTTATCAAAGCTAGAAAAAAACATACAAATTTTGTTTTCATACTACTTTTGCACGGTCACGTTAACCCTGGTTTGCCGCTCAACTGGCGCTTACGTGCCTTTGTCAATTTCTTATATTATTTTCCACCTTCCCTAATTTTGTCGTCCCCCCCCCCCACCCTTTCCACCCTACTATTCATATAAATACTTCCTGCCCTGCCCTAGGCTCTATTGTCCGATCTCGCCTAAGTGAACACAGTAACTAGGGTAAATATCTTCTGAAATAATAGTAAATAATCTGACATAATGTGTAATTTGTTCGATATTAGAATTGTTGTCTTATATCTGCGATACTTGTGCGCTACACCAACAGTATAATTTTCAACTAGTCAAATTAATTAAGATTTACAGATTATAGTTTACGTTCTCTTATATTTTTGCGTTGTAATATTGTCTTAGAATTTTGCTAATATACAAATTTGTATGTTTTCTCTAACCTTTATAAGGGTAATTTCAACACTACCGAAACGTTAACTTTTTATTCCTTTTTATTGCTTAATTACATTTACTCGAAAGAATCTACAGGTAAAAGAATTTTATAAGGTTAACCTTTAGTCTTTATTATGAAAGTATTTGCTCTTGGTAGATTCAACTCGAAAAAAAAATGTTAAGTGACGGCGTTTAAAGGGATACATTAATGTATGAGTTTACAATTATATTGAAAATTACGAAATGATTTTCGACGTGTACCACGATTTATTTTAATTCTGTCTATAATTATATATCATTATATGTACGAAATTTCTTCTTCACATCGAAAACACTGCTAGACAATTTATTATAAATGTTTGGACAAAATTTGAATCTCTATGAAATATGTATATATCTTCCGATATTTATGTATGTTACTGTATTTAACGTAGAAAAATTGTGAGATATGTGTCTATTTTATCAAAGACTATTTCTATAAGAATTATCTTATTGCTGTTGCATGCAATAGTGGCTTATAAACATAATCAATGATACTTCGATATTCAGTAGAACTCATAGAAAGAATATTACTACGTCTCGGTAATTTCGCAATGGAGATAATAATGCATAACAAATCTGCTGCTGTAGATAGAGGAGCGCTTTCTCTATTACATTTAAAGATAATTTTTTACCCGTTATTTCTGTTACCTGCTGCACACGATAGCCGTAAATTGTTGAAACGAATAAATGAACCATTATGGAATAATTACTAGAATGAAACTTTATTTTTTACTTGAAGAAATAAAAAATCAAACATATATTGCGAAACTTCGTAAATAATCATATCCTGAATAATTAAATTTATTTAAGCGGTACAAATTTGTTCAGTTTATTAAACATTTACGTAGATATTCTAACAAATTTTTACTTTTTTATTATAATAATGGAATCTTCTAATAAAAAAGTGACAAACTTTTATAATGTTTTATTGGTTTTCATACGCAATATTTCACATTTAAGATATTTTAAACTAATTTTAGTGCAATGCTCTATTGAGATTAAGTTCAAAGTATGGTACAGTGTCATTCAAGGAAATAATGAGTAAATAAGTTAATTTAAAAGTAAAAATACAAAACTTATCATAATTACATTTATTACTTATATAGAATACTATCGCATATATGTATGCCTGCTGAAAGCAGAGTCGTTGCAATTAAGTTAATATCTTCCAACCAATCAAATCACGAATAAAATGGCTTCACATGGTAGGTCGTTACTTTTTTCAGTTTTACAGCATTGTAAATTATACATAATTTCAAAACTTAGTGTCTTTACTTTTTTCATTTGTTGTACTATATTTTATTATAACATGTATTTTTTACATGATTTGTATATCGTTAAAATGATATTTTTTACAAAATATAACTAAAACATATATTAATTGTAATAATACAAATAGTAGGAAATTGGACGGTCTATACATCTTCATGAATTATTAAAGCAGGGTTGGTTCAAATTGACCGAGGGGATCGTTGTTTCTCTAGAGTAGCCATGAATTTTTATTGAACAGCCAGTTGCTCCGCATCCTGGAAAAACAGAGCTATTATTCATTTTGTTTTGCGAGGAAATAGTTAGCTTATAAAAATGGATATCTTCTACAGTCGTTATTACAGAATTAATACTACTAGTTCAAAACGCTTAGGATTATGGCCTCATGGCGATGCTTTAAAAAATAAAGTTAAACGATACATAATTGTCATTTTAATTACATCTATTATCATACCTCAAGTAAGTAAATATTATAATAATTTATAATCATGAGCAATAAATTTGTCAAGCTTCGGTCGCGTCCCAGAAGAATAGAATCGATCCAAATGTTCGCGATTTACAAAGAATTTATATTATATGTATTGTCGGATTGTTTATTTTCTTAATCATGAAAAATTTCAGCTAAGAAACACACAAGCTAAGTTGTGCGTGTTTAATGATCAATTTTGCAGGCAATACGACTGATCGAAGAATGGAACCGAGACGTAGATATAGTTATTGAAGTTATTGGCTCTTTAATGTATTTTGGTGGTTGTCAAATGAAGTATATTAGCTTTTTGCTGTCGAATACAAAGGTACAAGTTGCGTTGCCATCAGTGACTTCCCTTAAAATTTAGTTCGGAATTCGTAATACCTTGTTACCAATCTGACCGAATTTAGGAGCTAAATTAAGAGGAAAATCTTTTTTTTTTGACACGATTGCTAAAAGTGCATGTGTCTAGTACCTAATTCAAATATTATTTTAATTAAACGGATATCTTAGATGAAATTCGTGTATGAAGAAATTGCGAGACATTGGCAAATTTTAAACAGACAGAACGAGCAGAAAATTTTAAGAAAGTTTAGCGAGGAAGGCCGTTTTATTACTCTAATTTACCTAAGTAAGTATATTTATAGGTATTTTTTTTTTGCTGTAAATATTATTTGTCATTTTCCCTATTAATTTGAATTTTTAACTATATTTTCGTATTGTATATAATAATGTGCATTATCCTCATATAGTCTATGTTTTCAAACTTAATTGATCATTTGGTTTAAATTGCTTATTTATACGCGGATTTTTTATAACACAATGAAAGATGCATGATTTTGGATTGGGAATACTCAAGCTATTCAGAAAAAACAAGATATTTAGATACAGGATTCTGAAACGAAAATTATGAAATGATAGTAGAGCTAGACAGAAAGTTCTGTCTTTTTGTTGCTGGAAATCTATTCTGAAGTAGCTCTAAATGATGATAATGGTGCTTATCAAACGAATTTCAATTGATTTCAGCGATATTTGATGATTGATTTCTGCGAAAATCATACTCGCGTCATCTTGAATATTTTAAGAGCATTGGTGGCGTTTCCTCGTACGATTATATTACATTGCTGTACATAAATATCAACGAATCATGCAGCAACTATACAAATCTTAAAGTGCACAAATATTTATTCAACATACTTAATATTTGAACGAACTTCAGAAATGAGATTTTTGAATATCGGAAGCAAACTGCTAATAATTACCATCGCGCTTTGTTGGCGCAAGAACAGTCTATGATCAAAAAATGAAGAGAAGGGAGAGGAAAATCTTTCTTACAATTAGTTACACGCCTGAGAATTGTCTTCTTTGTAAAGCGTTGTCTTAAAAGCATACTTGGTGATCAAGGGATAAACACCCTGAGGTTTCAGTCAACGTGTATTAAGCTTGTAAAAATTTGGAAAAAAGAGGTTAATGAACTTTTTTTTACTAAAGCTTTTATTGCATTCTGCAAAATGCTCTATTTACATAATAATTAAATCTGCTACTGTAAACTAAGATCTTACTGCAACTTCTATGCTATATTAGAAATTATGATATATAAAGTACATTATATAAGTGATTATATTAATAATAACTTAATGTGTTTAAAGATTTCCTTGTACAAGCCATGACATAGGTCAAAAATTAAAGTTTTAGGAAAATTAGCATTAAAAATTTTGAGAATTTTTGTAATTCATCGAGAAGACTAAGGAATATTTACAAAAAATAGATGTTTGAGTAACACAATGTTTAATTAACAAGAAAAGTTTTATTTCAAAAAAGTCCCAACCGAAATTCTTCTTGTAATCTTCTTGTTTCAAACCGCGATCTTCTACATTATTATTACAAGATAATTTGATCACAATTACTGTGCTCGGGTTATATATAAGATTTTTTTTCCTAATAAATTTGTAAGATATTCAGTAATTTTATCCTACTTCAATGTGCATTCCTTAATATAGAAATAATTGTTACAAAGGACAATATATATAAAAAAATATATAAAACAATGGATTTTTGAGAAAAAAGGGTCTTCTTGATAATTCTCTTGTAACAAGAGCAAATTTTCTCTTCGAAATATTTAGAAAAGAATCCTCTTTTTTTTAATGATTGAATGGAAAAATATAGCATTAATATATAGAACTTTTATATTTCAGTTCCTGTGAATATAATATTAGGTGTGTACATAACAGTGCCACTTATGCCAGTATTTCTTGATATAATTGACCCATTGAATTACACGAGAACAAGAATGTTTCCATATTTTGCGGAATATTTTATCGACGATCAAAAGTACTATTTCGAACTTACTGTTCATTGCTGGATTGTATGTATACTATCAGTTCAAATATTTGTCACTTTTGACACATCATACGCTCAGTGTACTCAACATGCATGTGCCCTATTCGCTATTGTCGGGTAAGCTTCAAATTAAATATTTTTCAATATGCAGTTATAGTTTTATAATAAAATGTTTTTGTTGACAATTAGGGGAAATAACCTTTTTTTTCGCTTTTGAATTAAAAAATACTATATAATATAATTTTGCTTTATTCGATATTTATGTTCAGGTATCGTCTAGATCGGACTATGAAATTGCAATTAGAAATAAAAGACTCGCATGTCAAAAAATTTAATGATGATCAAATTTTGACTGAAATGACAGAAGCAATTTTACTACACAAGCAAACCATACAGTTAAGTATGCATGTTGCATTATATTTATAGAAACCATTTTCTATAATATTATTTAAATAACGAATTGAATAAAATAAGAACCTTTGCATAGACAACTATTAAAATCATATTGTTTGCTACATGTATATACTATTCATGTATGGCAGAGTACAATTGTTACCTATAAATTAAAAGACTTAATCATACTATACAATTACAGAATTTACAAAAGTATCATTGTATAGTTTACCATATTATTTATTATTGTTTACTATTCTTCACTTTACTGTTAATTAAATGCAGTAAAATTGAATACTATCATTTTTTCCGATGTATATAAAAATAATATTTAAATTTGAAATTTAAATATCTATATACTTTTTTAGGTTTGTGAATCTCATTGAACAGTGTTATACTGATCTATTTTTTTGGGTTCTGTTATTAAATACATCACTGCTCAGTTTGACCGCAGTTGATGTGAATATAGAAAATTGATAGCAAAATATTTTATAGTATCATAACTTTCATTGAATGTTGAATTTTATGTCTTTCCAGACTATGCTCAATCTTGAAAAAGGTAATTACAAGCAAATGATAAGAATTGGAACATTGTATATTGGATTTTCGTGTCATCTCTTATTCAATGTAATACCTGGTCAAAAAATAATGGACAGTAGTGCACAAGTAAAAAATGCTGCGTAAGTTAAGTTTTTTAAAATAAATAAAAAATGTGATCTTAGTTTTCTTTGTTTTAGATTATCTAATCTATTGGATTTTTTTTCTGTAGTTTCCACTGTGAATGGTTTAATAATTCAGCAAGAATTAAACAACTCTTAAGTATAATGATGCTGCGTAGTTCAGTACCATGTACTTTCACAGCGAAGAGACTTTGTGTTTTGAATTTGGAAACATTTGCGTTTGTATGTAACTTGAATAGCTTTCAAATAACTTATAGTATTAGACGAATAGTATTAGACGTATAGATGTATGCCACAACAGGCAATTTTTTTCTCACATCAAAACTCTCCAAAACTCTCCAAAGAAAAGATATAAACATTGATTAATTTAATTTTTGTTTTGTTTTTAATATTTTGTAATGTGCTATAATAACTAATTTTTCGTAAATTATATAATTTTTGGAACAATCACCTCTTATTAAAAGGCCTATTTAAAAATAATAATTTAGAATAATTTATCCAGTTTTAAACAAGTAAAAGGTACATATTATAGTAAAATACTATAATAACGTGTTGGAAATATTGAAACAATATATAAAATTAACTCTTTTTATTATTATCAAAAGAGAACAAATTATATTATATTTTTGGTAACGATTTTTCACTGCTATATATAAATACAAGGGTCGTTTAAAAAGTCCGTGCAAAAATAAAAACTGCTTGATTTTTTTTAATAAATCTTTTTTATTTTTCAACATAGTATCCTTTTAGGCTTATACACTTCATCCAACGTTGCTCTAGTTTGTTAATCCCTTCCAAATAATAGGATTTGTCCAAGTCTGTAAAATAGGCATTCGTTTCTGCAATCACCTCCTCGTTTGAATAAAATCTTTTCCCCGCCAGCCATTTTTTCATATTAGGGAACAAATAGTAGTCCGACGGAGCCAAGTCTGGAGAATAGGGGAGATATGAAACGAGTTGGAACCCTATCTCCATCAGTTTTGCGACCACAACTGCTGAGGCGTGAGCTGGCGCATTGTCGTGGTGGAAGAGGACTTTTTTGTGGGCCAATCGTGGACGTTTCTCTAGCAACTCGGTTTTCAAACGATCCAATAACGATGAATAATATTCGCCTGTAATGGTTTTACCCTTTTCCAGATAGTCAATGAAGATTATTCCTTGCGAATCCCAAAAGACAGTCGCTATAACCTTCCCGGTCGAAGGAATTGTCTTCGCCTTTTTCGGAGCAGATTCCCCCTTGGTAACCCATTGTTTAGACTATTCTTTGGTCTCAGGAGTGTAGTGATGTATCCATGTTTCATCTACAGTGATGAAACGACGCTTAAAGTCTTGTGGATTTTGCTGTAACAGCTACAAACCATTCTAGCAACACTTCACACGATCTCGCTTTTGGTCAATCGTGAGTAATCGCGGCACCCATCTAGCGGATAGCTTTTTCATGTCCAAATGTTGGTGCAAAATATTATGTACCCGTTCGCTCGAGATGCCTACAGTACTAGCAATCTCACGCACCTTCACTCTTCTGTCAGCCATCACCATATCATGGATTTTATCAATGATTTCTGAAATGGTAACCTTAACAGGGCGTCCAGAACATTCAGCGTCTTTTGTGCTCATATGGCCACTCCAAAAATTTTGAAACCACTTAAAAACCATTCTAATCGAAGGTGCACAATCACCATAATATTTATCAAGCTTCTGTTTAATCTCCTGAAGCGTTTTGCCTTTGAAATAGTAATGTTTAATCAATACACGAAATTCTTTTTCGTCCATTTTTTTACAACTACTCGATTTCTTTGATTGAAACGAATGTAAAACGCAAAGTAATTGGCCGATCTGGCTGGAACTTGGTGTGTGCTCTTCCAAGATATGCCACTAACTAAAAATAACCTTGATACGCACTAGTAGCGCCATCTCTCTGACTTTGCACGGACTTTTCAAACGACCCTCGTAGTATATTTGACTATATTGTAATAGTTTAAAATTATAGTATTTTAAATGTTTTTTGTAATAACTAGTATTAAATTTTAAATTGAAAAATTAATACTTTTTATATAGTTTGAACGATTTCCCACCCTATTACATAGTAACTCGGTGGAGAGTGGCAGATCTATCGAAATTCAAAAGTTGCACTTTTATACTTTTATTGCGGAGTGTTCACATTACAGTAAATATATAATTTAACTATTATTTATTTTACAGGTTTTTAAAAAATCTATATCATATGTTACTATGATTGGTTCCATGCGATAGAACAGTTATTTTAGCCTTACAATGTCTGTAAAATCCTTAGACAAAATTATAATACTGTTTTTAAATATTATCACTATAAATTCTAATGTTATGTCATACAAATAGACTTTGAAATATAATTTCGCTTATATTTTTAAACTCTAATTATATTTCATTGAGTAATGTCAACGAAACGTGTTGGTATGAAAAACCGCAGAAAACTTGTATCTAACCGACAGTATATAATTGGTTTCTGATTGCAACAGAATTGTTTAAAACTCAATTAAAGTCTATGTCAAATATAAGGCTTAACAACAGAAAACATAATTTTCAATGTAATAAAAGTGTATAGAGACTCAATCGCAATATTTTTATAACAATAATTTTTCTGTGCTTTATTATGTCTCATGTATCACAAAATGCAAAGAGAATATATCATTAATACAATATTTTGTCTTTATTACGGTGAGTTAATATATGAATTATGAATGCAATGATCACTTTTGAAAATTTAAGAATTGGCAAAATTGAGTCGATTAATTCAAAAATTCCACAAGTGGTTGTAAGGGAGTGTCCACGTGGGATCCCTCTTCCTTTCCGGCCCCGGGGCCGTCCCCGTTCGAGTTTTTGTATGCGCACGCCATCTCTATAATTTCGAGTTCATAGATTAAAATGCGTATCACGCATTCATCATGAAACTTACCACTAAGCTCGAAGTTATAGAGATGGCGTGTGCATATAAAATCTCGGACGGGGACGACCCCGGGGTCAGGAAGGAAGAGGGACCACGCGTGGACACTCCCTAAGGGTCTGTCTCCATAGGGCCTGCCTGAGTCCGTCCGAGCCGGCCGAGATTTTTTATGGGCACGCCATCTCTATAATTTCGTATCCAATGGCGAGTTTCATAGTGAATGGCTGCGTTTACATAAACGAGCCCGATCGGACGCAGCCAATACGAGAAACGCATGAACACGAAATTATAGAGATGGCGTGCCCATAAAAAATCTCGGCCGGCTCGGACGGACTCAGGCAGGCCCTATGGAGACAGACCCTAAAGATAATGTACAATCGCTGGACATTGGTTCTATTCATCCATTTCAAAATTTCAAGTGTTAGTTTGCAGATCTGGCAACATGTCGCGGTTTTAATTTAACTTCTGCTGCGCGGTGAATTTGAAAACAACCTAGTTTTAAGTAGTGGCATAGTGCAACAATTATATCGAATAAATAATATTAGGATATTAGGGGGTTAGGGAAAAAATAATTTCGGTGTTTTCCATATTTTTCAAGGTGAATTTATTGATATAAATTTTGAACACTAATCAATGATATGTGTTGTTCTGATCGATGAAGTTTGGGCGAAAAATTGAACCAAATGCTTTTCACAAGGTTCTTTTGAAGTCAGCTTTACACCAGTAAGAGAATTTTGCATAGACCGGACAAGATCCGTGGGCTATACGGTGGATGCATCAAAACTTTCCATCCAAACTTTTTCAATTTTTGATGAGTAACTAAAGATATGTAAAATCTAGCGTTGTCGTGATGGAAGACAACGTCTTTCTTATTGATCAATTCTGTTCGTCTTTTTTCAATCGCCTGATTCAATCGCATTAGTTTTTGACAGTAGAGACTAGAATTAATGGTTTGGCCAGGTTCGAGCAGCTCACGATAAACGATACCCTTCCAAACACTCAGCAATACCTTCCTTTGTGTCAATACAGACTCCGCAACTGTTTGTGAAGCTTCTCCAGACTTCAACCACGATCTCTTTCATACATTATTATCGTACGTGATCCACTTTTCATCTTCCGAAATAATTTGTTTCAAAAATGGCTCGATTTTATTTCGTTTCAGCAGGGATTCACAAATGGAAACTCGATCCATTAAATGCTTTGACGTTAATTTATGTGGAACCCAAATATCGAGCTTCTTTTGGTATCCAAACTTATGTAACTGATTCAAAATTGCTTTATGGTCGACATTTCGTTCTGTAGCTATGTCATGAGATAAAATATGTCGGTTTATCTCGATTTTTTCAAGAATTTTTCAAAAGTTGGCCGACCAGGGCAAAGTTCATCTTCAAGATCGAAGTTTTCGGAACAAAATCAAGCATACCAATTCTGGCACTTGCGTTCACTTAAGAATTAAGACTATAAACACTACATAATTTTCGATAAGCCTGCGCTGTAGTTTTCCCTTTTCGGAAGTAGAAAAACAAAATGCGATGAAAGTGGCCTTTTGTAATCTCCACTGATAAAGCGCAATAATTTTTAAATGAAAAAACAAATGGCGCTACTTTGTACTCTAGAATGTTCTGTGGATTCTAATCTATGAACGTGCTCTAGTATGGCTTCATTGAATAAGTATTACTGGAGATATACAATTTTATCGTCAACTATTAAGAAGAATCAAAATTATTTTTTTCCCAACCCAACCCAATATAAAAGTATAACTAGTTAAAAAGTAAATATATGTGTATAATAGAGATGTTGAATATCGAAGAAAAAAAATGAAAGTTCAATTGAAAATTATCAACGTCACTGCTGGACTGTTTTCAAATAAAGTAGAATTCATTTGATCCCATTTAATATTGTATGAAGAATACGATGCTTTGTGGTTCTTTTCAAGATATTACATAGCATAATTCTTATTAAGGAGAGGAGACAAGAATCTTATCAGGACTTTCTCATACAAATAATATTTGTAGGTATACATGAATTTGTACTGGCTCTGTTCAAAAAACTTGTCGCGCCAATTTGATAGCTGTAATTGGTGCTTGACCAAAAAGTATTTTGAAACCAAGTGCTTATAAAAATTATTCAAGGACCTTGTACCGATCAAGATATATTTAAGACTAAGTTGTCAGCACATGTTTCTACAGATTTTGTTGTTCGAGCTTTAATTGATGGCAGCTATCAAATTTGTATGGGAACGGTAGCCAACTAAGAATCAGTTGAAGGATTACATCTATACATTTCAAGTGATACGTGTTCAGTGACAGTGATGTAATCTACAAATATCTTTTGATATAGCTACAATAAATGCTCGATCAAGTATATCAAGTGCTTTTTAAGACTTGATCGTGCACATTTCTGGATTCAGTGCAAGACCATATCATCAAGGTATTATTTTCTTAAAAAACTGTGTACCAGCACTTTGTTCCATAGGAAATCATAGTCGAGCTTTGATGGCAGCTATCAAAAATGGTTTATGTTTTCAAATTCACCGTGCAATAGAATTTAAATTTAAATCGTGTCACGTTGCCAGATCTGCCAACTGATACTTGAAATTTTGAAATGGGTGGACAGAATAAATGCCCGGTGACTATACTTTCGGGGTGGGTTGGATATTCTGAAATCTTTTAGAACATTGGTATGAATGGTATGGTGTCGAGTTCCGGCTAGGTGTATAGATGGTGCAAAAATTTGACATCGGGGGTCCTTCTTGACATAAATTCTCCATGCCCATGCACTTGCAAGAGTCGCTGCAGAATCTTTGAACTAAGTTAGCTCAGATCTACTCTACAAAAATCCAACGTTTTAAGGTTTGAGTTACTATTTTAACTTTCACAGCTTGATTTCGCACATGTATATATGCATTTTTTGCAGTTTAATGGCATTGGAAGGAAATGGTTTCGCCTTGATTATCCCAAGATCTAAGATGAACGGCTGCTACCAGAAGGAGGAACTAATTCAATGAGCATTTGACGATCGATGAGTTTCTGGCTATAATTGGCAATTTTAATAAGTTTTGGAGAACGATGGTTATATCTTGATTAATAAAGATATCTAATAAAATTTGTTGGTAATGTGCTGCATATTGAAAAAAATACCTAAAAATGATAGAAAAAAATATAGAAACGAAATGAAAACATTTGTAATGTACTTATCATTTTTAAAATGTCTTTTTATGTTTATTTTGAGGATCAAGAATGAAAAAGAATAAATAATTACTGTTTAGTAATTAGTCGCAGATATATAAAAATCTTTACCTCGCACAAAACACACTGATATTATCTATTCCCTTTCGAGTTTTGACAACCTTGACGCACTAGTCGCTCTGCTCGATCAGGAAAGGTGACTGCAATAATTAAATTAAGAATATATAATAGAAAAAAAAACAAATTTCAAATAGTTATATGCGTACTTTGGATGATCTATGAGGAAATTAGATGCTATATGGCGATCTCTTTATACCGAACCTATTTTATTATCTATTGTCTATTTTTCTAAATGAAAACGATATAAAAAGACAGAAATGTACTATAATATGGGATTATTAATGCCTAACGGTTCAGAGTCATGCTGGTTAGTGAGTAAATAAACCAGGAGTGTGGGGGGTCTAAAATTAGTCAAGTTCCGTACTAAAAAAGTTGATGGAATTTAATCAATTTGTGATTCTTCTATTTACTTGACTGATTTAATTTTTCTAATCGTCTGAACGACTGTGTTATCTTAATGTGTACTCTTAATTGGTAATTACACTTAAAAAATTTTCATACGCTTAGTTTTAAAATATTCTTAATTACCTCAACAAATAATGATCATCTATAAATTATTTTCATTAATGTTTTATCGTCAGGTTAAGCAGTAAATGTGAAAAGTGCTGATAAGCAATATTTGACTAATTAAATGACATTCGGATAACAAGTGCTGATAACAATAGGGAAGCTTAACTGTATATACCCAAATATTTAAGCAATATTTTATTTGTATTATTCTATGGAGAAAAATTCATTTGAGCTATAATATAATTTTTCCGTTTCAATGCGATATCGCTCCAGTAGAAGAAACAAAAATAAATAAATAAAAAAATAACTTATAAAAAAAATTTCTTTCTAATTGGCAGGGAGTTTATTCCACGAGATTTTTCAACTTTTGAACGCATATGATATACGAAGGGGAGAGTTTGAGCCACGGTAGATTGTTCACTCTGAGGATAGAGCTAGGGGAGCATTCATGTTACAGCGGAAAATGCAGGTCGACAATCAAGTATGACTTACTAGTTATAATTAAAATAAAAGAAAGTATGAAATATGATTTAAACGAATGCTCTCTTTGAGCCAACACATATGCATTGTATCTCAGGTGAAGCGAAAGTGATCGCGTAAGTTTAAAAGAACAGAAGAATGAAAAGATAACGCTACTAATAAAATGTAGTAGTCACAATATTATTTTCTGGAGTAAATTGGAACAGATTTGCGCCTGATAATCTTTTTATGTAATTATACGCCAGACTAGCGACCAGGAATTTTACTTCCTCTTCTGGGGGTTACTTGTTATATGTAATGTATATGCTTATTCATTGCGACGAATGTAATTCATGTATATATACTCTGGTAATAATAATAAATAATAGTAAATACATAACAATAATAATAATACCAATTTCCAGTTATTAAT